ATTTAGTGCTTAATCTAGTCCCTACTACCAACTTACCACAAAAGTATTTAGTTTCTTAGTAGTGGCTAAGTTGGAGAGTAGCAGTAAAGTTAATAGGTTACTATAAATGTTGAAATATTCTCTCTCTAAAACTTGATTCAAATGATTTTTTTTAACTAAATGTTCACCCAGTACAAGGCACAAGAGTCACACAAGGTACAGGGTTACTGATTGCAGTTGTATAGATTTAAGATGATGTAAGTGCAATGTATGAGGATATGTAGTATAGATAACAGTCGATACTAGAGTTGAAAAGGTTAAGTATAATCTCAGGAGTCTGTTATACAAAGTAGCGATTCTTGGTTTGAAGATCTCTAACAGAAACTTCGTCCTTACTAATGGAATACGAAGGGGATGAGGATTATTCGACCGTGTGTAAATGTCATTGTGAGTCTTAGCTGTAAATGTTTAAACTGGCAGAAATGAAGAATGTGTCCCGTCTGAGCATTCCATGGAAATAACAAAAGCGTAGCAATAGGTTTGCTGTTGCGACTTTTCGTCTGTGGAGAAAGGGGTTGTAGGATTGAAAATAATTCACCGCCTACAAAGAAAAGTGATATTTACAAAACTTTAGTGCAAGACAGTCAGCAGCAATAGAAATGTTTTGATTTTTACACGGGATCGAACACTGCCATCAACTGAAAATACTCAACTACTTCGACCACAAGGCAGGCCTAGATTCTAGTTAGCTCTCATTTTAAGCAGAATTACTTAAAATAGGGATTTTTTAAAATATGAAAAATAATGGATATTGTCGTGGAAAATTTGTTCAAGACACTGAAGTGAAAAACTACCCTTGAAAAAAAAAATTGAACTTTGAGTAAAGTAAATAAAATAGTTAATTTGATGGAGAATTCTCCTAAAAAAGGAAATTGTGTCAATGTTTTTTTTTTTTTTTTTTTTAATCTGTTAAGAACCGTTTACTTTCACAAGTGCGAGCACTAATTTAACACGTACACGGTACACTTAATGATGCGTAGTCGTTGTAAAGGTCAAATGAAACAAATTGGCGGCTAAACTAGAATTTTATGAGTTCAGCCTACCAGCTTTTGCTGGAGAATTGAAGCAATGAACCAAATTCACATATTCTGATAGCCGATGTAGTTTGAATAAAGCTGAGAGTTGAAGTCTTTCTGTTCGAAGTCTTTCGTTATTCACGCATTTTGGACAACAAATTCGTCCCGATGTCAGTTTGCTTTAAAAAGAAGAAAAGATAAAAATCCTAACAAAAGGGTACAACACACATTAACCATCTAGTTTTTTTTAATTAGGTCATAATAAAAAAACAAAATGCGTGCAGTGACCTCGCATATGCTTCTTGAACACCTAGTTAATTTATGCACTTATTTTATCAGGTAATATTATCTTTTCCCACAAGGAAGGACGTTGTTGACCCCCGCCTCACCCCCAGTCATAGTGTCAGCGCGAAAATATAACCCTATCTTATTCCTTCACTCTATCTCTACAGAAAGCGCGCGTAACTCCTCTCTCTCTCTCTAGAGAGAGACAGACAGACAGACATTCTTTGGAAACACAAAATTCGTGCCAAACGGACACTAACTTTTTAGACCTGACTAAGTATTCAGAACATAGTATCCATTTTCAGAGACCTTCATTACAAGTCTTGCTACAATGACTTGCATACAAAAGAATCGGAACGCCGTCTTGTTTGCACCTAGAGCCCTATTCTAGTTTAAAATATTTATTCAATTTACGTATATTTTCTCCCTTGTTTTATTACATTAGAATTTATTAAATCACTCATTTGTTGTTCGGTCACCTTTTCTTTTCTTTTCCTTTCTTTTCTTTTCCTTTCTTTTCTTTTCCTTTCTTTTCTTTTCCTTTCTTTTCTCTCTTTCTTTTCTCTTCTCTTTCTTTTTCTCTTTTTTCTTTCTCTTCTTTTCTTTTCTTTCTTTTCTTTTCTCTTTCTTTTCTTTTCTTTCTCTTTCTTTTCTCTTCTTTTTCTTTTCTCTTCTTTTCTTTTTTCTTCTCTTTCTTTTTCTCTTCTCTTTCTTTCTCTTCTCTTTCTTTCTCTTCTCTTTCTTTCTCTTCCCTTTCTTTCTCTTCTCTTTCTTTCTCTTCCCTTTCTTTCTCTTCTCTTTCTTTCTCTTCTCTTTCTTTCTCTTCTCTTTCTTTCTCTTCCCTTTCTTTCTCTTCTCTTTCTTTCTTTCTCTTTTTTTTTCTTTCTTTCTTTTTTTTCTTTTCTTTTTTTTTTTCTTTTTTTTCTCTTCTCTTTCTTTTCTCTTCTTTTCTTTCTTTCTTTTCTTTTCTTTCTTTTTTTTTTTTTCTTTTCTCTTTCTTTCTTTTTTTCTTTTTTTTTTTTCCAACTTCCGCTCTCTGAAACAAAAGATTATTTAAGAAAACTCGTGCACAAGTGAACAACACTAAAAATGTCTACATTTTGACCTAAAATTGCTAACTTGACGCGTTACATTTCTTTCACGGTGTATTTTTATTTATTTTTTTCACAGAGGGCTCTTTGGAGATCACTCAGGTGTGTTTGCAATGAACAATCTAATTCATTTAACTTTAACATTTAACAGTGTGAATTAAAATGTTCAAATTTTACTTTAGAAAAAAAACAATGGAGCTTTAAAAAAATACGTGAACAAGGAGAATAAATTCTGGCTCGAAATTTCATTGATTAATAAATACAATAAATGAGTTGTGATAAAAAGTAACAAAAATTAAAAGAAAAAAATAACTGAAAATTAAATCTTATATTACTTAGGCAACTAATGTTTTTCATAAATATTTGCCAGAACATACACTGACGTGCCAAAAGTCATGGTGTAGGACCTTCCCCACCCCAACTCAACCTGTAGAACTTCAGATGTTGTGAAGACCTCTGGAGAGATGTTGAGCCATGCTGTTTCAATTGTTGTCCATGGCTCCTTAATATTTGTATATGCATGTTCTTGTGTGTGACTAAATCTTTTTATCCAATTTGAGAAAATTATTGATTGGACTCATGTTCTCCAGGGTGCTCCTTAGACCAATCCTGGACATCTTGTATCCAGTGACTGTATAAATTATTCTGTTGGAATTATTATTGTTGAGGTATATGGAGATCATGAATGGGTGCAAATGACCATGAAACAGTCACCCTCATGGTCACCTGTCAATGAAGTGCTTGGGTGGATCAGTGAACCATTCTCTGGGAATCACAACTATATCATACCTTCTTGACAACTAGGCTCCAAGTCACACCCAAACCCTGCCATCAGTCTGAAACAACTGGTACCATAATTCATTGGAGTATGGTATATGTTGCCAGTCCTCATAGTAATGCCACAGGTGAGATTCTGTGTCTTGTATTGTGGTGTTAACAGGAGCATCCTGATAACACTTCTGTTTCCTTATATGATGAAAGCTAAAAAATGCTGAAGCATTTGGATATAAAAGTACCTCCTATTGAATGTGGATATGATTTGAGCCAATTTTATTTGTCTGTTTTTGCAGATAATTCTATTCAGATTTTTGTTCACGGGACCCGTACTGTCATCCATGTTATTGCTCCCTTCTTTCTTGCCAACTAAAAACTTAATGGTATTATCTTGGGGGCAAATTTTAACAGCCATTTGATCAAAACTCACAAACGGTCAGTCTTGTATGTTTTTTTAATTGTATTTCATATTGGTCAGATTGTCAGTTTATTTTTTTGATGCCAAAAGTATGAAATAAAAAGTATAATTTTGAAGCTTTTTTCATAAATTTCTAACCAGATTATAACTTTCATCACCAATTGATATATTAATTTTATTTTGTTATTCAACTACTTTTCCTGGGTTAGAGATTAGTGTTGTTATGGTGAGGACAAATTGGGTCAATTTAGTAAGAAAATTCAACTTTGCCAACACCAAAATCTTGTGTTCTTTAGAATTGTAGCAAACTTTTAGTCAGGATTAAGAAAAAAGGATCCAGATTAATAATTTAAGTTAAATTAGATTCAAAATTTGTTGTATGTTGGATATGTAGGTTGTTGGATTTGAATCAAGTAACTTTTTGCTGCCCACTGACTACTCCTCAAATATCTTGCTTTGTTCAACATTTGCTACATTAACAAAATATTTCTGGGGGAGGTAATTGATTTTTTTTTTTTTTTTTAATTTTAATCAATTTAAAGCAAATTCCAACATTTTAGTCTGTAAATCAGGACATAAAAAAACTGTATTGTCCACTGCCAAGAATTTATGCAATTGTGGCTAATAGAGTAAAGGCTATTAATTTAGGATATTGAAAATGAATGCATTTACTGACAGAATATAATTTTTTATTTTTTCAGTTGGAAGTAGAATGAAAATTTGGTAAAGCTTCATTACTTGAGTAAAGAAAAATTTAAACTAAAAAAAATAATAATTCAAAATAATTTAATATTTAGCTGACTTGTTTTCCACTCACTACCCCAGTTTTTGTTTTTTATTTTTCGTTTTTTTCACTTTTGTTTTATCCCCCCCCCCTTAAATAGTCAAGTATTGGAGAGTGAATGGCCATAGCAAAACTGCCCAACAAATAAAATTGACAAAGTTTGTAATAAACAACAAGAACAGGGCAAAAAATAATATAAAGCAAGCAAACAATATATGCAAGGCAAATTAACAGTAATAAGGCAAAACAAGAATAATATGGCAAAAAGTTTACAAACTAAGAATTGGGGTTGACACACAAGACCAAGGTCGGATAAGTGAACGCAGTGTAATGACTTCAAGATAGACAGTGACTGAGTCATATAAAACCAAGAACTGGCCTATATTATTGGCTAGAAAGAAATCCCAGCCTGCATTTTTGTGCTTCTGCCCTATAAATTAGGGAGTGGGGAGAGAAGTGTTTTGCAGTCATTCCCATTGTGAGATTAGAAGCAACAATTATTATTCTTGAAGTGATTTCAAGAAAAAAACCCCAAAAAAACATTCTCGTTCCATTGACCTTAATTTGTTTTCTCTATATTTCAGGTGCCGTCTATGGCCAGCACCCAAGATGTGAAGAAGGAAGTTGTTATCCTGCCACCGGAGACTTGCTTATTGGCAGAGAGAAGAAACTTCATACAGATTCGACATGTGGTCTCAAGGTACATGAACAATACTGTATTGTGAGTCACTTGAAAGATGTTAAGAAATGCTTTTACTGTGATTCTAGAGAACCATATAATCCCCGTCGGAGGCAGCCACTCAATCATCGCATTGAAAATATCGTTTACTCATTTGGTCGCCGAAAGCGAGGTCGATGGTGGCAGGCTGAAAATGGCAAAGAGAATGTCTATATTCAGTTGGATCTAGAAGCAGAATTCCACTTCACCCATTTGATCATGAGATTCAAAACTTTCAGACCAGCTGGCATGTTAGTGGAAAGGTCGTATGATTTTGGTAAAACCTGGAAAGTATATAGATATTTTGCTGAAAATTGTCCGCAGACATTCCCTGGTATTAAGACTGGACCTGTGAAGAAACTTGATGACGTTATTTGCGAATCAAGATACTCTGACGTAGCACCTTCGACTGGAGGAGAGGTAAGTGTCTGGTGCTTGAGAATTCTTATTGGAAAATACTGTTTGTTTTTTTTTTGTTTTTTTGTTTTTTTTTTTAATTTTTGTCTTCTTATAGATTTACATGTGTATCTCTCACTGTGCAAGATGAATATTAAGTTTGGTACCAAGGACAGCAAGTGAATAAAGAATAATGATTAAGCATGAAGTTTTTAGATCATTAAGAATTCGGTTCTTCATTGAACAAAATGATGAAAATAAAACGTTCTGTTAAAACACCTCCCTTGAAATAATTCTGTTAAAACACCTTCTCTTGAATAATTTTTTGGGGAAGAAAAGCTTATTCACTCAATATAAGGCTTGAGAGCCACTCAAGATAGAGGGTTACTCTAAAGTGGTATGATGAATATGGTTTATAATATGAAAGAAAGATTTGGTGGTAGTAAGTGAAGATAAGTTTAAGGTGGATAGATAACAATTGACCCTCGGATTGAAAATTTTAGTGTTCAGGAAAGCATCCAGTTGGGAGTAACTTCCACAAAGTGGTAGTTCGGGGAGGGGGGTTGGTGAATCTAAATAGGACATTCTTACATTTGGAACATGGAGGAAATGAGGGTGATCCAACTGTGTTGAAGTAGCAGGGTGTATCCTAGCTGTAAAAATTTGAACTTGTGGAATTAAAGAAGGGAGCACTTATGTGAACATTTGCCATGGAAATGGCGATCAGTGCACAACAATTGCATCTGCAGGAAAGAGGTATCTATACTGATATTAAAGTTTACTACGTATTACTTGCATATGCATACTTTAAGTATTATTTGCTGAAAATTCAAGGGAAACATTTGCAACTGCAAGTTCATCTTGATTTGTGTCCTTTGCTTCAAAGATAAATGTCACACCTGCTAGAGCAAGGGTCGGCACCCTATGGCCCACGGGCTGGATCCAGCCTGCGAAGGCATTTTGACCGGCCTGCGAGCCTGATTACCAATAACTCTATTTTTAGCATGAGAGACGACCTTCAAATGAAATTTGTTATATCATTTTCCATAGAATGACTACACATCTCAGTGCACTAAAAATATTAGACTATCAGCCAGTTATCTTTCATGAGACTTATTTTACCAAGTTGCGTTGCCTACGTTTAATGTCAAATAAAAGGATACATATTTGTTATGACCCTTGGCTACATTAAAAGATAACAGAAGCGAAAGGAACGATAAAGTGAAAGAGGCCAGGGAGGGACTGACATGCGAGGTAGCAGAAATCTAAAGACAGTTAAACATACGCGCATTATACATACATGCCTCATGAATGTGTGGATGATACTGCATGTGTACGTACGTAAGTGTATATGTTTGCAACTATTTGTACTCGTATGTATGGGTATATGTGCTTCATTTTTGTTTGATGTGTGTGTGTGTGTGTGGTTCGTTTGTGGAACAATTTTCAATAACAGTTTCAAACCTACACGTCATAATTTCATCCATTTCACTTTGGTTGATTTTTTTTCACTTTGAAGTATTTTGACGTTCCTTGAGGAAAAGTAATTTTTGTTAGGTGTTTTTTAATTTTAGATTTTCTTTTGTTTTTTTCTGATTTCTCAATGTTTATTTTCATTATGGTTTTAAATATTTAGGTTGACAGGGGTCTGCATATGTAATTTTCCTTAATTTTTCATTAATGGCCTTAGTCTGGCCCGCGACCTGTCATTATAACATGATCTAGCCCGCAGGGTCGAATGAGTTGCCGACCCCTGTGCTAGAGGAACAGATTGTTTCAGAAAAATGACAACAAACTTATCCTTATATTGTCAATCTTCATCCAAAAACAGAACAAACTCAAAATGGCACTAACAAGTAAATTAAATCTAAATAAGAATTGGTTGGATCTTTAAACAAATCAATTATCAATAAAATAAATTCAAATATGTAACTACAATTAAAAAATAAATAAAAATTAATTACAATTAAATTTAAATATCAATTTGAGTAAAATCTTTAAAAAAAAACAATTCTTTATAAAAAGTTTTAACATCAATTTTGTTTTTCAGAACTAGAATTGATATGGCTTAATTAAACTTTAATTAAACTAAGGGGTAAGGTAAATTGCTCAGCAAGAGCTACAGACATTTAGATGGGATATTAAGTATATTTCAAACCTAGATTTATACAGCTGGTTGCCTATTTGATATATTCTATGGCTAGGGTTACCAACTACTCTTAAAGGTCCAACTTTATATAAATAAAAAACTGAAAAAAAAGAAAAAAAGAGCCTTTTTTTTTTTTTTTTTTTCTTCAAGGTACATTCAGAAGAGGGTAAAGAAATTAAGTAGATACTGTATTATGCTAAGAAAAGGTAAGCAGATGTAGGGTCTTAAATAAAGGCTTTATTCACAAAATAACCCTGGATCAGGTTAATTTGTATCTATAAAAAGAGTAAAATCAATGAATGGTCTATTTCTGTTGGTTAATTCAAGAGTTTAAAGTCTGCACTGTTTGCAATAGAAATTCATAGTAAATCGATCGCGAAGTCAGCTTTGAAAATGCAGGAAAAGGGTGACCCAGTCATTGAAACAGTGACATAATTTAAAGGGATGTGGAATAAAAACTAATCATCATACATGAGAATGAATTTTTTTTCTTTTATAAAGAGAAAAGATTAAATACTTTTACCTGTTGATTTTATCAAAATAGACTAGAAAATAAAGAAGATATCAGCCGTCAAGATTGAAGGATACATCTCCATTTTGAGACATTTTTGCAGTATAAACTAGGGCAGTTTGTGATACCTCAACTTATGTTTTATTTATTTACTGTTTTCTTCAATTCTGACTTAATCTTTTATATTTTCTACTTAATATTTTTTTTAATTATAGTTCTTCCTTGCATTGACTTATTGAGATAATTTTAAGAGAAAAGAACTATTTTCAAATTTAGGTAGAAGTTTTATCCAATATTGAATTTGTATCCAATATTGAATTTGTATCCAATATAGATTGGATATTAATTGAAGGTTTTTTTCACTAATTTGTTTTCTACATCTTTTCAATCCTTTTGTAAGTTAGACATTAACTGAATTTTAATCTGTACATAAATTACTTTTTAGCATGTGTTTACTGACAGCTTGTATTTCTTTCTACAGAGTGACATAAATTTTGTCTGCATTTGGTTGTCAAAACTCAAGGGAGATATTTTCACTTGCCCATCCCAGATGTGCAAATGTAAAATAAATTCTTCAAATATATATATTCCACCCATTAACTTGATCATAAATGTGAATTTGTATTGGCACAAATTCTATTTTTATATTTAATTTCTTTCTTTTATGCATATAGACATAAAATATACTTTCTTTTATATATACTTTCTTTTATGCATATAGACATAAAATATACTTTCTTTTATATATACTTTCTTTTATGCATATAGACATTCTGTTAGTAACACTTGCAAGAATTCTGGCTCATGGACTATCCAATTCTTCTAGTTTTCCAGTGCATTTTCTACAGTCAAATTATTTGCAATGTTTTCCTAGAGGAAAATAATCAGCAAGATGTTCCAATTATATAAGGACTCCATTTTTGACAATGCTTTGCTTACTTGTTGATTATTTTCTCCTGATTTTCAATGTGCAACTTGCAGATTGAGTGTCTTGAATGAAAAAAGACAAAAGGCAAACTCATCTTACCTACAGCAAACTCACATTAGTACAGATGCAAAAAAGGCCTTGGATTGCATGCAGGCATGTTTGTCAACATCAGTTACATGCAGGTTTTTCCTGTTGGCAGCAGGACAGTTTGGCATGTCTAGATATAGGCCTTTCTGCAAATGTTCATGATCTGGGTCTTTGTATGATGCCTCATGCCAATAAAAGTTGGGTGGGGACCAGAAGTTAGCAAGACATGCTGTCTTGTGAAGTTGGTCCCGTGGGCATTTTTGTTCTTAAAGATGCTGTGGTTTCCAAGGCAGTGTCATTTTTGTTACCTCCAGTCTCTTTACCCACTTTGTCTATTGCCACTGTAGTTGCTGGGAGAGTTGTTTCCCACCAACCTTAACACACTCTTGCTATAGATAATGACATTAGCCGATGCATTTTGTCATCTGAGGGACTTTATCAAAGCAAATGTAAGGATTTTAATTTGTGACAAGTATTTATATAAAAGACCAAAGATGTTATTAGTTTTTCAAAATTTTTGGTATAGATATGCTCATGAATATTCATTAGGTTGGCAGAAAAGTGAGGCAAGTTCATGGACATTTGGTGATAACATTTCAATTCCATAATAAACAAAAGTCGGAGGTAATTTCACCTCGTGTGTGTGCATATATATATATATATATATATATGTGTGTGTGTGTGTGTTTAAATTAGTCTTAAATTATTTTGGATTGGGATTGATTTATGTTTTGAATAACATGAAGTTATGGATTTGACAGTTTTCTTTCAATTTTTTTTGTAGTCATAAATCTTGTCTTGGGAAAGGGTTAATTCTTTCAGGAAAGGAAGAATCCAGGGTACAGATTTATATTTTGACTAGATTGAAATCCATCTAGTCAGGCAGCATTTAAGCTAGCTCCTGCGGAGGGATCTTAATTAGGCCTTCATCACAATAGATAAAGAGGAGTAGAGGCAGTAGGCAACAATAAACTACAGAAGAACTCAAAATTGATCACTGCATTTAAGTATCGAATTAATGTTTAAGCTTACCTTTTAAAAGTTCAATGATAATTCTTCTGCTGTCACTTAATTTATAGACATTTTGATATAGGTAGATCTTTACTTTCTGTAGAGATAATTAGTTTTATTTCATAGGTAACTTTCACTGCATTTCACAATTTTGATCACTCCCAAATTTATTGCCAAGTTATAAAATGTTAATGAACAAAAAAATTTGTCGCAAAATATCCTGTAAAAAAATCACCAAAAACAATTGCAGTAATGAAAACTTGGGATTCCAAAATTTCAGGATTGCTGGTCTGGATCCAGCCTGGAATGTTTTCAATTTGCTCACAAGTCGATGTGAT